TTCCAGTTTTGCATGTCATGCTTGTGTACTTCTCACGGCTCTAGAGAGTGCGGTAGTCAGTCTGCAGGCCGTCGCAGAAAGGACATACTTCCTGGAAGCGCTCAAAGCAAGCGCAATGTTAAAAGACTATGAACAAATTATTCCTGCTTCATGAAGTCACTTTAATAATATCTATTTTTTGCAAGTTTATAGATGGAAATAAGCGGCGAAGAAACAGATGTGCAGTACGTGCACAGTGTCTGTACTCTTCAATGTTTGTTTGTATTTCTTTACTTCTCCCATCCTACCCCTTTCCTTTTTTGATATAGTTCTTACTTGTATATTTTTTTTTTAAATTATGCACTGAAGGAGGTTTTACCAGCAGATAAAAGGATTTCATTTTATTGTTGTATTTTTCTATGCACTGACTGTACAGCATGTTGTTGTTTTTTGTTCTGGAGCTAGACTTTCAGCTTTTACTAACATGTTTTCTAGATCGGTTTTAAAATAAACTTGATATATATATATAGTAAAACCTTTTTTTCCCTACCAGTGTGCTGTGTCATTTGTGAGGATTGTGTATGTCGCTGTAACCTGTACAAATCAGTCTTTGGTGCCACCTAGTGGTTTGACACTTTCACTGCGAAAGGAGTTTTATTTAAACTCCCCCCAATATATACATATCTTAGATACTTAGAACTTTAAAGTAATCTCTAAATTATCTCGAATAAATCGATCCTGGGGTATTAAAGAAGAAACTCTAAATTGTGTTATTTTCTCTGGTCCTGCCTGGTTAAACTTTTACTGCCCCCCTGTGTTTTGAAAATGCGTCCACTTCCATAGCAACCTGGACTCACAGTTATTGAGTTTGACTTTCTGAGTAAGCCCGTCTAAAAGTACTGTCTGCCCTTTTTATTTTTAAGGAAAAGCATGTGTGGATTAATTTCAACAGGTAAGAGCAGCACTTTAAACACATCTCAGTTTACTTATGTTTTTACAACTAGCGTGTTGGAAATTTGAGCTTTTCTTTCTCTTTGCAAGAGTTTCTCCGCCTTACTGTGGACAGTTTTGTGAGTAAAAGTTTAGATTCCTCATATTTTCCCCAGTTTGTTACAGCTTGGACAGAATGTTTGTTTTTTAAGCGTTTTAATGTTGATCTTCACACAGGAGAGCTCTCTGGCCTCTGATGATGTACTGGCTCACTTCTTCAATGATTTCCTAAGTGCGCCGGTAATGTAGGCCTGACATAGATATGCAGGATTTTGACATGGCTCAAAGCAGTTTTTCTTACCTTCGCATGTTTTTGCCAGTCTTTCCCAGAGGCTTTGCGGTACAACCGGGAGACGGGGCTGTTTGAGATGGCGAGTAGAGCGGCAGAGTTTGTCTCCACAAGAATCCGATCAGCTCTTTACAACAGAAAATCACAGCTTCTTGCTGTTGACCCGTCACTGCTCACCAAAATGCCCCCAATAGACAATCATTACACTGTCTGTGTAAGTAGCTGCTAGCAAAATGTTTGTGTCTGTTTGTATGGAGGGGTAGAAATCTCTATAGTGGATTGAAGAACTTGTCCCTGACATTCACAGTGCCTGGACAGAGAGCAAGGAATGCAGTGGATCAAAAAGGAAAGATTCCCCTTTTTCCTTCAAAGTGATTGTTATCATGAATACAGGTAAAGTGTTAAATCCTGTTGACTAATATGTTTTAATGCATTTGTTTTGCAGGCAAGTTTCATCTAATTTTTACCTACATTTTCTCTTTACCTATGAAATGTGATTTCTTTGCAGTATCCAGACAGTGTGCTAAGATGCCTTAATGCTGACTTTGCTGTCTCCTTATTTTATGATGAACAAGTAAAGTCTGGGTCTCTTTTTAGTTTAATGTGTCTTTAAATTGCACTATTTTGTCAGTGATCTTTGACTGGACTTACATGAAGTGTAATAACAAAGTGTTTTAACTTCTAAAAGAAGTATCGATTTAAGATTGCTACTTTCAGATCTGAGACTAATCTCTTCTCCATCTTTTAAGAAGCCTAAAGGCTTCAAGAATCTGCAGAGAGATCCATGCTAACTTATAGCCTGCACATAGAAGCAGCAATACAACAGCAGCCATGTAAAGGCCATTCTTTTGAATCGTTTGTCTTGTCTCTCTGCCTCACCAGTTGTGGCACATGGCTGTGCCTCCCTGAGGCTGTTTTTTTTCCTGGAGGTTTCTACCTGTTATAAGGGAGTTTTTCCTTTCTACTGCTGCCAAGCACTTTCTCATCAGGGGTTGTCTGATTGTGGGGTTTTCTCTGTATTATTGTAGGGTATTTTTCTTACAATAAAAAGGGCCTTGAGACAACTGATGTTGTAAATTAGGCTATATAAATAAAACTGAATTCAACTGAATTAAAAAAAAAGATTGTTTTTAAGAAATCTTGCTTGTGTATTTTCCAACTGGCAGTGCCTCCTCTCTCTGTGATTTTCCCCAGACTAGCCAAGCTTCTGCTTCAGTGGGACCCAAACTTGTGTATTCACAGAAGGAAAAGCAGTTCAGTTCGGACCACCCTGTCTGCCCCTCAACTGCGTTCCTTAAAATTAAACACGGGTAATACTAATGTAGTAAATGTCTTGTCCTGCAGTGCAGCAAAACAAAATGTGTATGTATCCTGTGAGTATAAAAATAAGAACTATGTGTGTCCCATGTTTTTATTTCCTCACTCCTCAGGGTTTATGAGCACAGACAATCTTACATGTCTAACATCTCTGCAAAAGGAACAACTTATTCCAAAAAGCAGTGACTCAACCAGATGTTACTCCAGCTGGTCTGAGCCAGAAAGCCTGTGTTCCTTCCCCCCTTTGTCCTCATCAGGTTTCTCCTCTGCTCACCTTCAAAGTGGGGAACCTCAGGAACTTAAGAGCTCACAAACAGAGCTGGGTGTCTGCTCTGGGCTATCATCTGTTAGTAAAGAGAAACACCTAAAAGAGATCAGTAGCCTGGCATCTCATTCTCCCGAACAACACTTGGAGTACCTGGCTGTCCAAGTGACTGAACAGGTGCTTAAAGACCCAATGAATGTAACGGATGGTCCGAACCAGGCAGACACTTGGGAGTGTTTCAGCAAGTCAGGAGATCAGGCAAACTGTAGCAGCACAGACAGATCCTGTAAATGTGACCTTAACCGACATCTCAACAGAGGAAGACTGGAGGGGGAGAAAGAGAGAAGTCAACGTGGCAAGAGGGGGTGTGGATGGGATAAGAAGGATCAGGAAGAGGGGAGCAGAGCCACAAACCAGGAAGATGTCCCTTATACTTATTGCAATGATACAGGTTTCTATGGAAGCTTGGATAAGTTTAGGGAGTTTTTACAAGGAACGTCAGGAGAGAAGCTCCTTAATCTCTGGATGGATATAGAGAGACTGAAGGCTACACGGGACAAAGAGCGGAAGCACAGGTAAACACACCTGTCTTATTCTGCAGCTCGAAAAGTTCTAAATATTCAAGCAGAATTTATTGTCTTTTGTTAAGTGAAATAAATATTCAATGCGGTATTGTTTCAGGTATTTGGTTCTCATGAGAAGCTGCTACCTGCTGGGCAGCAGTCAGTTCAGTCTGAATACGGAGCTGCTCTCCAGACTGGGACTCACTACCTCCCCCTGCTGGACAGAGGACAAACTGCGCTCAGTTCAGACCTGCCTCACTGAGCCTCTGCTCCACTACTGGTGAGATTTGCAGTGTTTATCTTCTAAATGTCAGTGACTGTGTCTAGAATGCATCCATAAAAATTACCTTTACATTTACTCCTGTATTACATTTATTATTTTGTTGTCTTGTATAATTATTGATTGTGTTCTGTATAAACTGGGTTTTCATATGTTATAATTTTGCATGTGTCTAAATCTTCTAATGAAAGCACATTAGCCCCCTCTCTTTTCTGCAGGGTTCCTCGGTTCTGGACATCTCTGTGCCATCAGGAAGACCATACTAACTCCTCTGATGTGGAGCTGAGGACAGGGTGGTGTTACAGCTCTTCTTTGGGCTCACAGCCTCGCTGTTACTCAACGTTCTTACGAGCTGACACCTGCTCGCCCCAGTCTTCCCATACTGTCCGTGCACAGGTAGGTGTATTGAGATATATGTTACTATGTGCTTATAAGCTTTATGGCAGGAAATCAAGCCCACAAAAGCATCATGAAGCAACAATAGTGAAACCCATACACATAGAGAGCTTTATTTTGGCTCTGCTTGAAAATGTGGCTGTGTCCCTCTTCGGGAGCTGAAAAACAACCCAGAGTTTTTATCAGTCAGCAGTAAAAAAGGATTAAAAGATCGATTTTAGTGAAATAAATCTGAACATGAGAGTATCGGCCAGCTCTTGTTTATACTTGTATAAATTGTACAACTTGGTAGTTTCTCCCTCTAGTCATCCATCCTCCTCCTGCATGCACTCTACACCCTGCTGGGGTCCTCTCCCACTGCCATCTCCTGGTTTGTGAACCACTGCAGGAAGTGATTTATCAAACATCTTTTCCAGTCTAAAAACATACAAAACAGAGACAAACGGGAAAACTATTCAAGCTGTGTCTTTGCATGCTAAGGATTCACCTGTTTTGATAGATTTTTGTAGTGACTAAACAATGTACTGCGGGACAATAATTTTAAAGCCAAAACAAATGAAAATCAACTAGTTTTCACTCCAGCTTTACCTAGCTATTTTATATAAACGCTATATTTAACGTTTTTGTATTGTATTTCATCAGGTGATGTCCAGCAGAAGTCAACTACAGTGCAGCACAATGATGGAAAAGATGCTGCAGGCTCTTTGTGCTGAGTCTCGTGCTGGCTCATACTTCACACACTTCTCCGAACGATCTGGAAACCAGGTACAGACAGCTGCAGATGTTAACGAGCTGTTTTAGAGAACACGAGGCAGAAAAAAAGAAGCTCGAGGTAATTTAAAAGTGGTGCCAAAGAGTTTCTTCAGCTGAGCAGCTAAGACTATTGTTTGTGCTGCTGCAGGTTGCTTTGTGCTTTTTGTTTGTGAAATGCATTGCTGTCATTCTCCTTTCTACAATTATGTGTAGCTTGTGTTTTACCCTGTGCCACATAGATTAAGAATCTGGGCTCATGTATGGACACTGTTTCTTTTTAAAGCTTGACCCAACCACTAACTTGTTCTCTAACCGTTATAAATTCACATTAATGGATTGAAGTACACAAAAATATAACTCAGCTGACAGCGTTTTTGATGTGTTCAACACTGTTTTCCTGTCCCAGCTGTGGGTGAATGCACTTTACTTCTGGACTGACCTGCAGTATTACCGTGAGCTCTTCTACCAGGATGGTCTGGACCCTTACAGAGTGCAGAGAGAGGCACAGGTCAGCACACGCAAACAGACAAGCTGTTATCACTGTCAGTGTGTATGCACCACACAAAGCTTTTTGGCACAGTTACTACAGGAAACAAGAAGCACATGCAGTGTTTTTGCATGAAATATGAAATCTTGGGTCTGTATATTTAGGTGTATTTGGTTATATGCCGCTAATAAAAGAATAATAAAATATTGAGAGAGATAAAGAGAGCTCAATTAGAGAGGATGCCAGGAAAAAATCACCAGTTATAATAAGGTAAAGCTGAGGAGATCAGATGTCTTAAATAAGCAGCCAGTAGTTAAAAGGCAATAAAACAGTGGTTGTGTATTAGATTTTCTATTATTCTCCCTTTTATGCATACGCACGCACGCACGCACGCACGCACGCACGCACACACGCACACACGCACACCTGCCCTTGTGTACGTGATCTGTTAGCTTGCCACTCCCATTCTCCTCTCTGCTTCTCTTTCAGCCCTCTTCACCCCCTCACACTAAGCGCAGAGATTTAAACTCCCATAAAAACAAGTGAGTCAGACCCCCCCAGCTTTGCGCCAGTCCAGTCACCCAGAACCACCGGGCCTGACTGCAGCTGGCCCAGGGAGGAAAGCAGGCAGTTCTGGTCCAGAATACCTCACAGTGAAACCTATTTTCCTTCAGTTAACCTTTAGTTCACCAGAGCAGTGACATTTAGATGATCTTTCCATAATTCGGAGGCCAAGCGGGGTAACTGACTGACATTTATGTGGTGTGAGGGCAGCAGTGATGAGCGATAGTGAAGACTGTGTGCGAGAGAGCGCAGCGGTGGTGAAGAGAAACGTTTCTGACCTTAATACAGTTTTATGACTCCTTCTTTCCTCGCCTCTTGTCTCCTCTTGTCTCCTCAGTTCCTTTACTCCACATATCTTTTCAGCTCTGCCAGGAGGCGCTTTGGTGTTGATGAGAAGTTGAGAAGGGAGGTGTATGACAGACTGATGCCCCCGTTTGAGGAGCTGTTTGACAGGGTCGAGGAACACGCACTGAACATCCTGGTGGAGGCGTGGACCACGATGGTCAACAGGAACACAGAGTGTTTCCAGCAGGTAACCGCAGCGCTGCATTAGCACACGCTGCTTCATAAACTTCAGTTTATGTGGAGAAACTAGGCTTCCTTGAGTATTTCTGAAGGTTTGATTACACTGAGGCCTAATTAAAGGAGAGATTGCTTTAAACATGGATAAGCATCTGGTTTTTGACAAGCAAGAAAGTGACTTTCCCATGTGTGCGCTAGTGTTTATGTTGCTGTGTTTAGAAATCCAGAAAGATCAAACTGATCAGGCTTGTTAGTTTGAGGGTAAGGTTTCCTAAAGAGCCTTGCGGATTGGATTTAGATAGTTGCAACTCAGAAAGTGTCCATCACACTGTCCACTTTAATTTAAAAGCATAAAAGACGAAGAAATGCAGCGAATTCTCACATTTCAGAGCCTTGAAATATGGACACTCAGATGTTTCTGACTGTAAAAATGATTTAAATGATAAATCAGTCATGAAAATATTTAATGCTTAGTTTTTTGTGTGTGTGTGTGTGTGTGTGTGTGTGTGTGTGTGTGTGTGTAGGTAGCTGTGCAGGAGGAGGTGCGCTCCATTGACAGCTGGGAGTACAGAGAACTGAGCAGCCTGTACGAGGAATCACAGCTGCGACTGGAGCAGGTCAGATCAGCATCCAGCAGTAATAAGATCTATAAAATGCTCGCACTGAGAGTTATTAGGCAGTAAACACACCTGCGAGCGTGAAACGGCTGTGTAAACACAAATGTGAAAATGTATTGCCTAGTAACAATGTTGATTATCTACTGCTATGAGACTGCTTTACTTGGCACAGATGCATTATTTGCAATGATGTCATACCGCTGGTAAAAACAAACAAACAAATGGTCTTTAGGGTGACTTTCGAACATCTAGGAGGCAGGATGAAGCATGGTTTGCAGGAGAAACATCATTTAGCTTTAAAGCTTTACTTTACTGAGGATTTGTCCTCAGCTTGCATTTTAAAACTGGACCTTCACCTGGATGAATCTTTGTGTGAATGGGTGAAAATGTCTGGTGGTCTAAAGTGCTTTAAGTGGTCAGTTAGATTCGACACTATCCGTCCCACTGTCTGCCTTCACTGTTTCCATCTTCCTCTCCTCTCGCTGCATCTGTCCAGCAGGGGGAGCAGTGCAGCTCCATGCTGTCTGCTTCATCTATTACACCTTCTACACACACTTCTGACTCTTGGTCCAGAGTGTCTCCAAATTACCGTGGTTACCGTTTAGGCTCCTTACTTCGTCACCGCCATGAGATCGGGCACTTCATGTCTTTCCTACAAAATCAGAACGCCAGGTGAACTGCGGATTTTAGACTTTACCTGTAATATTCATAAACAGTTATAATATGAAATATATATGGAAACACCATCCAATGGATTTGCTTTTGTTTAGTATCCATCTGATGTGCTGGCTGGATCTGGAGCAGTATAGGAGGACTCCTCGGCAGCACAAGGCTATCAGGCAGGAGAGATCAGCATGGATTGCTGCCAGATACCTCAACAGGAAGTACTTCTTTGGCTCTGACAGCCCTGCCACGACAGAACAACAGAAAGATGTAAGTCAGCCCATCTAAATATTTTAAAACCATGTTAAACGTACCCGTGTTGGCTCAGTAGCAACTCCAAAGAATATGAGTTATTGTCATCTTCCTGGGAAAGCCTCACAGAGACAGAGGAAGTAGGAACAGGCCGCCCGTGACATGACTATTCCAAGATGGGATTTGAGCTCCAGCTGAGGATCAGCATCCAGATTTGATAAGCAGAGGCTGCTGCAGCTCTCACACAATTTCCCCATCTCCCTCCTCGGGACTCCTGCAGACTTGACGCTGACAGCTCTGACAGCGGGGTGTTGGCAGCGAGCGGGAGATGAGAGAACATGGTTGGAATTAAAAGGAGAAGAAGAGGAGAATGTTTTGGATCCAAGAAGACAGAGATGATCAGCTCCAGCAACGAGGACAGTAGGATGAAATCTGTCCTGACGTTTATAGTGGGAGATGAGGTTTCTGGGTTCTAAGATTACTCCACGAGGGTGCGGTGCGTAGAGTTAGGATGAGTAGATGGGACATGCAGCGGTTGGCGTGGTTTTCTCTTTGGGCCCACAGAGATGCTTGTTTTTCTTACGTGTTACAGGACGCTGGTTCTGATGTGATTTTTTTTAGCTGTAATGAGAGAATCTATTAGTGAAATTTGTACAACTGCCACGCAAAAAGGTTGAAGTTAGATATTTTTGCCACTATTTTATCTTTTTTCTATTCATTTGTCTCATCCCTGGGTTGCTGCATACATACAGCGGTTGCAGTTAAACAATAGTCTAATGTTGATCTTGGGTTCAGATAGGCATGCAGCGCACTTGTTGGCATGAATCTTTTGTCTGATTTTTTTCTTTTCTTTAGTCACTTGTCATCCTCATCTCATAAATACCATCAGAATAAATATTTGAACTGAGGATTTGAATTAGAAAGCCAATTCCAGTGGAAGGATCGGGCCTGGCTGCCGTTCTTGCATCTCAGTGTTGGTTCTTGTCTGCGTGAGCAATGTAGAGAGACTGACAGCTTTACTGCTTTGGCCCTTCATTCTTCAGTCACTCAGTCATCCAGTCACAGATTGGCCCCCTTTCATCTGCTCACTCTCACCGCGGTGCCATGACTGGTTCTCATTTCTGGAGCGAGTGTATGCGTGCACGCGGGCCTGTGTGCGTGCAGAATGAGATGAGAGAAACTATAAAGGAGATATAAAAAGAGAGACACGGCCAAATCGATGCATGAAGACAGAAAGCAGAAAGAGGGGAGATGAAGAGAGCAGTGGGTTTGTGGGAATGAAGAAGAGCACAGCAGGAAGCAGAAAGGAGAGGAGCTGTCAGTGGGGTTTCCCACTGTGGGCAGTTTTTCTTTCTCCCGTCCACCTCGGCCGTCATGTGTTCCTCGTATAGAAATCTATAGACGTGTCCGTTCAGTCTGCTTCAAACACGTGCAGCCATGAGCTGCGTGTCTTTCCTGTGTGTCTGTGTGCAGATTTTGCATTTGGCAGGTGGAATTGAGCGTCTGAAGTTGGAGCGCCTCTCAAACCCAGTCGTCGTGGAGATCCAGGACGTCGTGAGGAATCACATCGAGAAAACATGGCTGCCTCTGTTTCTGTCCACAACAGAGTTCATCGAACGGCAGAAACGCAGACCAGAGGTGGACATACTCTCACACTTTCCTTTACAAAAGACGCCAGTGAATCATCAGCTATTTGACTCATGCAGGTTATACTGAAGGTCCATTACTTGAGAAAAACAATGGTTAGTAACAGTGGATTTTATACACACTGGGAGTGCAAGGGCGAAAGTTAAGTACTGTGATTACATCAATCATAAGCTAAGGACATATTTTTCTATTCCAACTGGAATTTCTCAGGTTGGCTGCTGTGACCTCTAAAGGCATTTGAAAGATATTTTTAGCCCTATTTCTTTTCCTTTTTGCCTTTCGCAGGCTGCTGTTGTAACAGAACATGTTCTTAATGATGTAGTTAAAGGTTATATTCATTCCTGGTACGTGTTGTAGTAAAAATAGGTATTTTACAAAAGCATGGCCCGTTTGTCGCTCAGCTTCACCTGGCATCTATTCAGCAAACTGCACAGTCATGGCAGTTTGTGCACGTGCTGCTGATAGCTTTAGTTAACTTTAAAAAGGTTTTGAACTTTAAGTGCCTTTAATACAAAATAATCTCCAGAGTAAAGTATACAGATTTTGGTGATTCCCTGAACAGCAGGACAAAGTTTGAATACTGGATCGGCTGTAAAGACATTC